TAGTCAGCCGGGTGTTGGGGACGTGAGCGACCGGGCTGCGAGGCTGAGCACTAGTGGTGCGGGCATGGCGACTGATTTGGTGATGGGGGATGAGGCTCGTGCTGAGGATGCTTAGCGCTCTCTTTTGTTTGTATTTTGGGGGCTACGATGCCCTTTTGTCTGGCGTTTGTGCCATTTTTTGTATTCTGAACTGGGGCGCTTGATGCCGTATATATCACCTTTGACTATTCTGGTTTCTAGTGTTGTCTCCTTGGATGAATGAACTGTTCTTCTATTTCTCTTCTTGTAGGTGTTATGTTTGTGCATGTTACCTCAGTGTGGCCCAATGGCTTTGGCATGTAGGCCTTATGTCGGGCTGGGTTGGTGCTTTGCTTGTCAATGGTGCAGGAATCATTCATTCCGTCTGGCCGACCGAGTGTGTAGTCCCCTGGATGAATGGTGTTGCATCTTCAGTTCAGTTTCTGGGTCGGATGGAGCCGGTCCCAAGGTGCCAAGTCTTGGATTGGGCAGGGCCGATCTGAAGGTGTCATCATGAGTCGAGCAGGGTCGATTCGAGGGTGTGAGTAATTCATCGTGGGTCGACTTGAAGGTGTCCGTATGTTTTATCAGGCAGGGCCGATTGAAGGTGTCCGCATGTTTTATCGGGCGGGGCCAATTGAAGGTGTCCATACGTTTTATCAGGCGGGGCCGATTGAAAGTGTCCGTACGTTTTATCGGGCAGGACTGATTTGAAGGCGTCCGTAGGTTTATCGGCAGGGCCGATTTGAAGGTGTCCATACGTTCATCGGGCAGGGCCGATTTGAAGGTGTCCATACGTTCATCGGGCAGGGCCGATTTGAAGGTGTCCGTACATTTTATCGGGCATGGCCGATTTGAAGGTGTCCGTACGTTTATCGGGTAGGGCCAATTTGAAGGTGTCTGTACGTTTATCAGGCAGGGCCGATTTGAAGGTGTCCATACGTTCATCGGGTAGGGCCGATTTGAAGGTGTCTGTACGTTTTATCGGGCAGGGCCGATTTGAAGGTGTCCGTACGTTCATCGGGTAGGGCCGATTTGAAGGTGTCTGTACGTTTTATCGGGCAGGGCCGATTTGAAGGTGTCCGTACGTTTTATCGGGCAGGGCCGATTTGAAGGTGTCCATACGTTTTATCGGGCAAGGCCGATTTGAAGGTGTCCGTACGTTTTATCGGGCAGGGCGGATTTGAAGGTGTCCGTAGGTTTATCGGGCATGGCGGATTTGAAGGTGTCCGTAGGTTCATCGAGCAGGGCCGATTTGAAGGTGTCCGTACGTTTATCGGGCAGGGCCGATTTGAAGGTGTAAGCAATTCGTCGACCGGGGTCGATTTGAAGATGACAACTACTGAATAATACTTTATTAAATATCTGGCCATGAGGCCGACTATCTAAGAGGAGGTGGATAGGCCCACTCATCCTTTTATTAACAATGAAAAGAAATGAAAAACAAATCCCCAAAAAAGACAGGGTTTACCTAGGAGTAGTAGCGTTTGAGGTGAACGGCATTCCAACTGTTGTTGATATCTTTGCCCTCGGGGGTCTGGAGTTTGTAGGCGCCTTTCCCTGCTTCTTTGATTATCTTGTAGGGGCCTTCCCAGGTGGGGCCGAGTTTACCAGAGTTAATTTCCTTGGTGTTTTGGAAGACCCTACGAAGGACCCAGTCGCCTATCTTCAAAGTGCGGATCCTCACGTTGCGGTTATAATGTCGGGCAGCTTGTTGCTGGTAGACTGTGTTGCGGATGCTCGCCTGTTCCCGTAGCTCGTCCACAGTGTCTAAGTTCTGGCAAAGGTTTTGACTGTTTGATTTCTCGTCTGCCCATTGGAGCCTGGTGGACGGGACTGATACTTCAGCTGGAATGACTGCTTCGAAACCGTATGTCAGGGAAAAGGGGGTTTCACCAGTTGATGATCGAGCCGTGGTTTGGTATGACCAGAGGACTTCGGGTAGCTTGTCTCCCCATGCGCCCTTAGCTTTCTGCAATCGCTTCTTCAATGTCTGTATGATGGTCTTGTTTGATGACTCGGCCTGGCCATTAGACTGGGGGTTGCGGGGTGTTGAGAAGCTCAACTTTATTCCCCACATGTCACAGAAATCCCTGAAGCCTGAACTAATGAACTGGGATCCATTATCGATGACAATCTCCTTCGGTATTCCGAACCGACAGATTACATTCTTCCAGATGAAGGCTTTTACCTCTCGATCTCTGACTCGTGCAAAGGCTTCGGCTTCGATCCACTTGGTGAAGTAGTCTGTCACTGCCAACATGAAGACTCGTTGCCCTGGTGTAGTAGTTAGCTTTCCCACAATGTCCATTCCCCACTTCATGAATGGCCAAGGTGTGAGAATGGAATGTAGTCGTTCTGGTGGGAGGTGTGAGATATGGGCAAACCTTTGACAGCTGTCGCACTTCTTCGCATAAGCGGTCGAATCGGTGCGTATGGTCGGCCAGTAGTATCCTGCGGTGATCACCCAGTGAGCAAGATTGCGCCCCCTTGCATGGTTGCCGCATTCGCCTTCATGGAGTTCGGCTAGAACACTTTGGGCCTCTTCTGGGCTTATGCATTTGAGATAGGGGCCTGAGAACGACTTTCTGAGGAGTTAACCCTCATGTAGGGTGAATCTGGCGGCTCTTGCTTTCATTCGGCGTGCTCGTTCTTGCCAGCCGGGAGCTCATCGTCTGCCAGGTATCTTATTATCGGGGTCATCCAGCAGTCGGCTTGTTCGACGCCTATGGCTTCTACGGGAGACTTGTTCGGTGGCGGTTCCTTCCAGTTGGCCGGCCACTGCATGAATAAGAGGGGAATGGACGACTGGAAAGAACATTGGAGTGCCGAGCTGAGGTTGGCGAGGGCATCGGCATGGTAGTTCTCAGCTCTAGGGATCTGCATGATTGTGAACTCTTCGAATTGGGCCTGCAGCTCTTTGACCATGCTCAAGTAGGATGCCATCTTCGAGTCGCGTGCTTGATACGTGCCTTGTAGTTGGTTGACCACGAGTTGGGAATCGGACTTCACTTCCAGCCTTTTTGCTCCCATTTCCCTGGCCAAGGAAAGTCTGGCTAGGAGGGCCTCATATTCAGCTTCGTTATTCGTGCACTTGAACCCACACCGGACTGCTCGCTGGATTATGTTTCCTTCTGGTGCGATCAGTACTATCCCAAGTCCACTCCCATTCACATTACTCGATCCATCCACTAGGAGAGTCCACTTCGAGGGTGGTGCACCGTTCATGCATAGTAGTTCCCTTTCCGCTTGGGTGGTGGTGCTTGGGGTGAAGTCAGCAATGAAGTCCGCTAGTGCTTGGGACTTGACAGTAGTGCGTGGTTGGTAGGATACGTCGAACTCGCTGAGCTCTACCGCCCATTGCATGAGTCGGCCTGATAGTTCTGGTTTGTGCAATATTTTCTTAAGTAGGAAGGAGGTGATCACAACTATAGGGTGGCACTGGAAATACGGTCTGAGCTTCCTGGATGCATGGATGAGGGTGAGGGTAAGCTTTTCCAGTTGGCTGTATCAAGTTTCTGCGTCGAGGAGCGACTTGCTAATGTAGTAGACCGGTGACTGCTTTGTTTCTTCTTCCCGAACTAACACCGCTGATATGGCTGTCTTTGAGACTGCTAGGTAAGTGTAGAGCTTCTCCCCGTCCATAGGTTTGGAAAGAAGCGGGGGGGTGGTCAAATACCTCTTCAGCTGTTGTAGGGCTTCTTCGCACGAGGGGGTCCAATCGAACTTGTTGGATTTTTTGAGGGCATGGAAGAACAGGTGGCACTTATCAACTGACCTAGATATGAAGCGGCTCAGGGCGGCCACTCGTCCAGCAAGGCGTTGGACGTCTCTGATGCACGTCGGGGATGGTATGCCGATGATCGCTCTGATCTGGTCGGGGTTGGCTTCTATCCCTCGCTGAGTGACCATATAGCCCAAGAATTTACCTAATGAGACGCCGAATGAGCATTTGGTTGGGTTCAGCTTCATGTTGTATTTTCGTAGAACGGCGAATGCCTGGCTGAGGTGGTCGAGGTGTTGTTCGGCAATCAGGGACTTGACGAGCATGTCGTCGATGTAAACTTCCATAGTCTCTCCTAAGTAATCAGAGAACATCTTGTTGACCAGTCGTTGGTAGATGGCCCCAGCGTTCTTGAGTCCGAATGGCATTACTTTGTAGTAGTAGGTCCCTCTCTCTGTGATGAAGGCTATCTTTTCCTGGTTGTCCGGGTGCATCAGGATCTGGTTATATCCAGAGAAGGCGTCCATGAAGATAAGGAGCTCGTGGCCTGCAGTCGCATCTACCATCATGTCGATGTGTGGGAGCGGGAAAGAGTCCTTGGGGCAGGCCTTGTTCAAGTCAGTGAAGTCGATGCAGACTCTCTATTTCCCGTTCTTTTTCTTTACTACCACGACGTTCGCCAGCCAGTCGGGATAGTGGACTTCTCTGATCATGTCATTGCTTAAGAGAGTGTCAATCTCTTCGTTGACGATTCGGTTCCGTTCTGGTGCAAACTTCCTTCTCCTCTGCTTTACTGGTGGGTGACACGGATTTACCTGTAGCTGATGGACCATTGCTTCCGGACTGATTCCGGTCATGTCGGCGTGGGACTAGGCGAAGCAGTCTTGGTTTTGTCTAAGGAACTCTATCAGTTTCTCTCTTGTCTCGGGCTCAAGGCAGGAACCTATGTGGGTCTTTCTCTCGGGGTTGTCCGGGTGTATCTGTACTTCATCCAACTCCTCTATTGAGGGATGATCTAGCTCGGTTGGAGGAGCCTGTAATTGCTATGAGGAGTTGCCCTTGCTTTTGAAGGCGTTCTTGTAACAGTCTCTAGAAGCTTTGGGGTCGCCCTTGATCTCTCGCACCCCCCACTTGGTTGGAAACCTGATCGTCTGGTGGAAAGTAGATGGGACTGCCCGCATGTCATGGATCCAGGGCCGCCCCAAGATGGTGTTGTAGGGGGATGGGCAGTCGATCACTAGGAAGATTGTCTGTTTATTTACTCCGCCGGCATAGATAGAAGGATGATCTCCCCGATAGTGTATTTCTGCTCCGAGCTGAATCCAACCAGCAGTGTCGGTCGTCTGTTGATATTTGCCTCTTCTAGCCCCATTGCCTTTACTGCTTCGAGGAATAGGATATTTGTTGACGAACCTCCATCTACGAACACCGTTTTCACTAGGATGTTGGCTATTTGCAGGGAGAGGACTAAAGCATCGTGGTGAGGAGCGGCCAGGGTGACCGGTTCGTCATCTTCGAACTGAATTACTTGATAAGAGTAGGACCTTGAGACCGGATGGATGGACTGGACTTCATGGTGGTTGTTGGCTCTCGCGTACCGCTTGGCCGATGAGTAACTTACCCCACTGATTTCTGATCCTCCGGAGATGAGCGAGCAGAAACCCTTCGGTGTGGGTTCTCGCGAAGGGGGCGACAGTTCTTTGGAGCCCTTCTGGCTAATGGTGTTCTTCCCCTTGTCAGTGAGTAGATCACCGAGATGTCCCCTCTTCAGAAGTGCGGCAACCTCGAGCCTCAAGGCGATACAGTCTGCGGTGTTGTGGCCGTGATCGTTGTGGAACTCGCACCACTTGGTTGTGTCTCTCCTTGCCTTGGGATTGAGCTTACCAAGCCACTTGACGGTGGACCCCATTCCTTTCATTATCGCTACGACCTGGATTAGTTCGACGTTGAGGTTGTACTCTGGTATTTTGTGCTGGCTCGATCCGAAATGCCTGTTATCGTTTCTCGCAGGTTGGCGATCATAAGGTTTTCTGGTTCTGCCTATATTACGTGCTGGAGGTTGGTAGCGGTGTTCTATCGATCTAGGCTCTGGCTTCCTGTCGCTCCGCCTTGGTTCATATCTGGAATGGGCAGCTCGGTTCATCTCATCTTCCTCCCATCTTAGCTGGATAACAGATCGGGCCAGAGCGTCTTCCATTGTGGGGCAACCCAGCTTTGTAAGTTCTTTGTATAGTTCTCCATCCGGGAGGAGGCCTTTTCTGAAAGCGTCCACAGCAATCTCGGGGTTACATGAGGGAATAGAGATCTTCTCTTTATTGAATATGCTAACATACTCTCTTAATGGCTCTCCCCTTCGCTGGTATATTCAGTACAAGTCGGCCGACAACTTCTCTAGCTTCTTGCTGCTGGCGAACTGTTCCACAAAGGTGTCGGCAAGCTGAGCGAATGAATCGATGGATCCGTTCGGGAGGTTTATATACCATTGGAGCACCGGGCCGGACAAACTAGAACCGAAACTTTTGCACATGCAGGCCTCTCTAATCGGTCGGGGTATGGAGCAGTGAACATCTGCTGCTTGTACAAGGCTATGTGGTCATCCGGGTCGGTGGTACCGTCATATGTTTTCATGTTGGGGATAGTGAATTTCTGGGGCATGTTAGCTAGGGCGATCTCATCCACAAAGGGTGAATCGGCGTAACAATTTGGTCTACTCTTCTTGGTTGGGATTGGCATTCCTGGAATGCGTCTCATTACTGTCTCAACGTCGGCCAGTCTCTTGGCCAATAATTGTTACATAGGGGAAGGGGTTACTGTCTGGTCATCCCATCTTACCGAGTCTGGTACATTTCGTTGGGTCATCCCTCGGGGGGTAGTCTGATAAATCATTCCATCTTGCGCTCCTTGGTAGCATGGGTCTTCGTTCATCCCTTCTGGTTGGATGACTCCCATTGTCACTGTTCTATTGTTCTTCCCTACATGAATGGTCAGGGGAGTCGTCTGATAGTCGTTCGGTCCATCAGGATGGATGGGCTCAAGTGCTGGAGTTGGTTTGGTTTGGCCGTTCGACCCGCAAGGGTGAGCCGAGCCAGATGGGGTTTGTGTTTGGGTTAACTGGAGGTGAAGTGGGATGGTGGGGATGGGTTGATCCTGCAGATGCGGGCTCTCTGTTGCTGGATCGTTTTGATCATGAGGCTGGGGTGGGTCGACTGGACAGCACGCCGTTGGCATATCTTTATTTCCGTTAGTCAGGACAGAGTAGTCTAGCGCCAGTGCGTTTAACTAACGCGGCCCTTTGTCAGAATCCGAGGGCCGATGCTCTGGTGTGGAGAGAGGTTGCATGGATGGGACAGTGGTGCGAAACCGGTTGGGGGGTGCTTGGTCGGGCAGAAACTCGAGATCGTAGAATCGACTTACTTTCTCCTTCAGTGACTGGTTCTCGACCCTGATGGAGGTGTTTTCGGCTTCCAGCGCAGCCACCTTGTCCAAGTTTTGTTGCATGAGAGCAGTCAAAGCCTCCAGTCTGGCCTCGAGGCCAGAGTTAACGTTGTCGGGATTGTCAGCCATGGAATATTCCTCCACGTAGCAAGGTTCGTCAAGCCGAATGATTGCTAGAGGCCCCACGGTGGGCCCCAAACTGTAGACATAAAAATCTACCTGTACAGAAGGGGGGTCTGATCCCGTGAGGTTGAGGCCACTGTTAGTGTATATTAGTGTATGCCCTAGAAACCATTCGTGTTGTCGGTTTCAGAGCATTTTGTCTTGTATCTATATATATCATAAATAATAGAAGAAAGAGTTCTTCAATTCATATATGTAAATTGCTTCCTTTATTCAGTCATGCATTTAAAATAAAGTATGTATATGAATTGTCCAGATGATTCATTTAATAGGTAAATGAATTATCGAAAAGGGTTCCCTACGGAAGCAATATAAATTTGGGCAACTATATTGCACAGTAGCATACCGGATGCTTCCGAAAGATATCATGAGTTGAATAAGTACGGATACGATGATAGTCATGTCACTGGGGATTGGTATGGATTAACGTTTGGTGAACTGTTTTTCGAACGTGACCGAATAACGACAAATCACTTGGAAAAGCATGTAGTCAATGTTTATCGTTTGGTTTATCAGGCACGATATAGTCCTTTGACCTGAGACATTGTAGTCGGATCCGTATGGATGCGTATGGTTCATACGGTGTAAAGTACGAGACTAATCTGTTTCGTACATAAAGCCTATTTGGTCATGCGTTGTTCATATGCGGAACGAACGATGGTCAAGAGGGGATCCATTGACTCGGAAATATAGGATCGGGAGTACCGCTGACTCCATCCATTCGAGTTCCTAGATGAACATCGATAAATTCAGAAAACTAATCTCTGGCCAGAGTCTATTATGTTCATACAAAAAGTAGTTTGTGATGACAAGTTTCGGACATTGATCGATATTCGGTAGAAGATCGAGTTTAGGATTTTGACGTTCCATGAATCCATACTCGATTAGGAATCTCAATGGAGACTTTACCTGCATGGTACGTAAATCTGAAATGGTTCGATGAAGTATTTCTTCATCGTGGTTTAGGGACTATGGCACATTGCTAGATGTTTTACCATAGTCGTTGGCCTCCGGACAGGTTTCCGGATTCATCCAGACCGGCCCACGGCTAATCCACAGTGGACCTACATGGTCACACCAATAGCCTTGAGAAGTTAGAGAAGGATGAGAGAGAGAAATGATTATTCGAAGAGGGCTAGCACCTTCCGAGGGTAATAACGGGATTTCTATGGTAATAGTTACATAGAAAACTATTTGTGACATTTTAAGGATTAAAATGTTCAAGCATAATTAATTATATTTAATTATTATATCTTAAAGTGTTAGATTATTGAGATGAACAAAATAACCTTTTAATAGTTAAAGGGTAAAGGGTAACTTTATGGGTTGTCATTGTAAACTAGTTTATTTACATGGGCCCTTGAATAATATTGATTATTCAAAGGCAGCATAATAAATTCATGGGGTCCTTTATAAAAGAAGATTTTTATTGGGCTTTGAATGAAAAATATAATTGCAAATTGCCCAAGTATATATAAATGCAAAAGGTTGCATTTTTGTTCATAACACACATTGTTCACTCAAAGCAAAACCAAAACTCCTCTAAAAGCCACGACCACTCTCTAAACCTCTCAAGTGGGTGTTAAAGTGTAGAGGTTTCATCCTTTTGAAGCTAATCTTCATCAATCCAAAGCAAAGGAGTAGGTATAATCTCATATCCAAGTTTGCATGTAAACCGTTTTTTTTTAATCCATGTTCTCATGCTTTCATTCTCCACCTCCACCACTCTTCATGCATGCTGGATCTTTCAAATGGTATCAGCTAAAAGCTCCTTGCATGTCGAATTATAAGCTAAAATGCATTTTCCATGTGTTCATATGTTCATCAAACTGGTTGAGTTTGCATGTTAGTGATATGGCTCAAAAAGTTTTTTTCATAGTAATCTTTACATGCATGTCTCGCCATACATAGATCAGAGTAGATATTTCATTCTTCTTCTCATTCTATATGTTTGAATGATAGAATGGTTAAATGAGGCCTTAGTATTTGGATGTTGTTTGATGTAATAAGCATGTTTGATGCATGTGTATGTCTCGGCCATCTCTGTATCTTTGGAAAACATGTTTTTCTTCTTGCTCTAATATGTTTGGGTATGTTAGAATATGATTTAAAGCATGTTTGGATGATGATATTGCATGAAATGTGTTGAAAACTACATGCATGCTATATGTCATTTTCGGCCATGACTAGTTTTGCCATAAAATGTCATTTCATTCATGTATTGATAATGATGTTTTAGGAAATGTTGCATGATGATTCATTTAGAAAAGTTCATGCATGTCCTTTCCATTACTTTGATTAAATGGTTTATGCTTGACATGCTAAATGTGTTATCTTTAATTTGATTAAATGGTTTTGCTTTGACATGCTAAATGTGTTATCTTTAATTTGATTAAAGTATATTTTTGCATGAAGTGTATGCAAATGTTGCAAGTGTTTAGTGTGTGAATTGATTTTAGCATAAAGTTATGGATTATTCATTCAAATGAATTAGGATATTATATATGATTGTGGTAATTTAATGTGATGTTTATTTTGATTAATTATCTTATAATGCATCATTGCATGGCATAAATTATCATATTTTTGAATGTTAATAATTTGGTTGTTTGAAGGGTTTCCAAAAATGATGAAAGCAATGGCATGATTGTCTTTGAAAAGTAATATGTCATAAAAAGTATACTTTAGTTAAAAGTAACTGTGTCATAGAATGATTACTCTTGGAGTAATAAAACCCACTTATCTATGCCATGCATGACTTTTGTGAAAATTATTGAAATGATGCTAACAATTAATGTATATCTTTGGGTGGAATATGACAAAGTGTTTTGTGTAATGATTCCTATAAATGTGTAATTGTTGCATGGCCCAAAGTTATAATTAAATTACCACATGAATATATTATAATATCTATTAATATATGAGATATATTATATTCATGCCTTTAAATAATTGTTATTATATTTGGTATGAATGTTTAATATTTATTTATGTGATGAATGAATTTAGATTAGAGGGTTGATCATGGGCGCCATTTGGTTTTCAAAATATTCAACAAGTGTTTGTAATATTCTTTTATTAAATGGCTTGTAAAATTAATTATTTATTTATTTAATCGGGCCTGCGTGCCTAAGATCCAATATGTAATGGATCGGCTAGACGGGAACCGAAGACATCCGGGATGATCCAATCGAAGATATAGTATTAGGGTAAATAGTTTGTCTTTAGGATGTATTTTCGAAAAGCCCCATGGTCAACCCACATGCTTTAATTTATGCATATATGTGATATGTATGAATGATAATTAAACATGCCTACTAAAATGAATTAACTAAAGGTTAACCTAAATCTCCCCAATTTAAAATTATTAAATCCAGTCTCCCATTGTGGGATAACTAATTCTTTGATATAAATTTTAATATTCCCAAGATTTCTATTATGTGAGGGATACAATCTTTATCATAGAATTAATTTGATCTTGTTCTTGGATGGATATTTTCACCTTGACCAAGAATTCTATTATGTGAGGAATGATGAAAATGCCATCCTAAAAAGCACAATGATTCGGATTTAACTACCTAGGGTACCAAGAATCTATTATGTGAGGTATCCGAAGCTAGGACAAGGAATATGAATCAAACCTTATATAGTGATATAAAAGAAAAGAGTTTCCTACTTTAGACTTAATTACCAAGAATTCTATTATGTGAGGTTATTGAATTTGATAAGAATTGATTCCCCACTAAGAAATTTAATCCAACGAAAATTTCCGAATCCTATTTAAGGAGTGTAGCCTCGAATAAATAGTGGAGCTAATTTGATTATGCATTAAAGGTTTAAAAGATTAACAGACACTAATAAAATTACTTTTCTTTGCAGTTTCATCTTTGTGATAAATAATCGAAAAATGGCCACCAATGTTCTCCTAAGGATAATGGACATAACATGTTAACCGACCCAACCTAAAAGATTGGCTAGAAATCTTAGAATTGTTCTAGATTTGTGAAAGAATTGCTTATGTCCTAGAAGCACCTCTTCCACTTGATATTGGACCGGATGCTCCACAAGATGAGCTTGATGCTCTTGAAAGTGGAGAGAGGATAGTAGGGGGCTAA